GTATCTAACCGGCGGTTTCATTTCACGTCCAAAACGAATAACGGTGTTCTTAGGCGCAGTTCCTGGCTTTGGAACATCGGGTGCAACTACCTTGGCATTATTTGTCTCACATGGAAGATACATGGAATGTCTCTTGACACGGGCAACTCACGTGATTTACGCAAATGTTTTCTGTTTCTCGTATAGTTTGCTCCGGCCTCGGTCATTACCTTGTATGATTTCCTTTCCGGTATTGCTTCTGTAACCATTCCTTTCTCCCATGGTCTATTAGGGGTTTTGACTCGGACAGTCTCACCAACTGATTATTGCGATAAAGGGTGTGCAGATTTGTTTTAATACTCTGCTTGTTTTTGTTTGGCATAGTCAATCTTCTAATAAATTTTTGTAAAAGAGATTCAAACTCCAAAGTCTAAAGGTTAAATTTGGTGGTACCCAAAGAAAGGTTTTATCAAAAGCAACACCTGAGAGATATAAAAGTTTTTGCAAGGTTATAGTTTTTGCGGACAAACAGACAGCTAGACAGTCAGATGATTGGACTGAATAATATATACATGTATATATATATATATATATATATATATATATATATATATATATATATATATATATATATATATATATATATATATATATATATATATATATATATATATATATATATATATATATATATATATATATATATATATATATATATATATATATATATATATATATATATATATATATATATATATATATATATATATATATATATATATATATATATATATATATATATATATATATATATATATATATATATATATATATATATATATATATATATATATATATATATATATATATATATATATATATATATATATATATATATATATAAGAAAAAGAAAATGCAGTTTCCAAATTTCATATAACACAAGCGCTTTCTGGATTTCATAATCCGTCTTTAGGTGTACATATTTGAACTGATTGTTTTGCTTGGTAACGTTAATGGTGTCATAACGTCATTAGAGTCTTTGCAGGGAAGGAAGTAATCTATGACGTCATAGCAAGACTACGTTACGTCAAAGTAAGGAAAAATGAAATAGAATAATAATGGACAACAAATCATGCTTATCTTATATATATATATATATATATATATATATATATATATATATATATATATATATATATATATATATATATATATATATATATATATATATATATATATATATAAAGTACTAAAAAACCAAAAACACTGTATATACTGTGTATTCTCCATTCAAACAAACGAATGGCAGAGGTCTTTAAGGAACCCCCATTGGCTGCATACAGACGCCCAAGGAACCTGAAGGACATGGTAGTAAGAACCAGCCTGGACAACCCATTACCTAACGGGGGCTTTAAAACTTGCTCTGACAGAAGATGTCTTTTTTGTAAGCACAGTACTGACACGGACAGTTTTAGCAGCCCCGTTACAGGCCGCAGCTACAAAATACTAGGGAATTTGTCCTGTCATACTGACAACTGCATTTATCTCATCAGTTGCAAAGTTTGCTCCAAACAGTATATTTGTGAAACAGGAGATCTCCGCAGGAGAGTCAATAACCACCGTTCGACCATTAGGACCAAAAAACTCAATGAACCCGTTGGGGAACATTTCAACCTTGAGGGTCACAAATGGGAGGATATGACAGTAGTGGTGATTGACCATAACCCAAGATGGACAGATGCTCAGAGAAAAAGCAAAGAAATTCTGGATGCACAGATTGAAGTCATTCCGCCCTAATGGTATTAACAAACTAAATGACTTCACCCGAATGAACGTAAACTAGACCCAATTCCTGACGATACTAAACAAGATTATTCTCTCAATTTAGTGTAAACTCTACAGTCAATTTGCGTCACCAACTCTCGAACAACCCACATAGCTATGTATTGCTTTCGCCTTTGTTATTTATTTTTTCCCGGTATTAAGTCTTTAAATATTTCAAAATTTATAATGGATCATAATTCATATGTTTAAATATCCCTGCCATCTTATTTTTCTTTGATTATTCTTTATTAAGTAAAGTTACGCCATTTTGAGAGAATGAAACAATGTACGATTTACTGATTGTCGTAATTAATTAGCATAATTAATTCGTTCAATTATGTAAATCGCACTTCACCCGAGTATACCCGATAGACCGGACGCATTTCATAGCGGTCCGGATTTCTTTCTTTATTATTGTTCTTAAAAATTTCGAATTCAACATGTAATTTATTAAGTATGTAAATATCTAGTGTTTAGTAGCTTAGTAGTAGTGCTAGTTGTTTTTGTTTCTATTTTTCCTTTGTTCTTATGACTTTTTAACTTTTTTCTTTGTCCTGAGGAAGGGACAGGGCGTCCCGAAAATTTGACAATTTTTATTGTTCGTGTCGTTGGTCATTTTTAGTGCTTGTATATATATATATATATATATATATATATATATATATATATATATATATATATATATATATATATATATATATATATATATATATACTGTATAGGGGGAAAATAACTCGCGGTGTTTATATTCGCTATATTCACGGTGTTAATGAATCCGTGAATTCAAGAAACAGTGAATAAGTTTTCAATAGGTATACATAAGGGAGGAAACTTTTATCATATTCCAATACCGCGAATTCAAGAAACCGTGATTGTGTCAAAGAAGAGAAATATGAAAATATACAATGAAATATATATATATATATAAATATATATATAGTGTAAAAATTGGTGCGTACACATCTGAACACACACACACACAGCAGGTGTGCCACAGGGCTCTATTTTAGGTCCCCTGTATATATATCTATATATATATAAATGATTTACCATTATCTGTTGAACATTGTAATGTTGATATGTTTGCTGATGACACAACAATGCATTTTCATGGTAACAATATTTCACATATTGAAGCAACTCTCAATCATGACTTGTATCAAATACAAACCTGGTGTCAACAGAATCAGATGATTTTAAATACTGATAAAACAAAGTGTATGTTAATGGGAACACACCAAAAGAAATCAAAATTAGAAAACGTTAATCTTCAACTACAACTTTCTGGCCATCCCATTGAAAATGTTAGAACAGAGTAATTATTAGGTGTTCACATCGATCATACTCTTCAATATACTTCGCATGTAGATGCAGTTTGCAAAACCCTTACTTATAAATTATTTACCTTACGAAAAATTAAAAAGTTTCTACCATTGTATACTAGAAAGCTATTTTATAATGCATTTATTTTACCATCAATTTCATATTGCCTTTCTATCTGGGGTAACTCTCCTCAAACTCACATCGATAGAATATACAAACTTCAGAAACGAGCAGCTAGGATTATTTTAAATGAAAAATATGATGCACCTTCAATGCCATTGTTTAACATTTTAGGCTGGTTAACAATTTACAAACTTCTTTATTTACAGAAAAGCATTTTAATGTTCAAAATATTTCATCATATGTCTCCGGATTATATGCATGATTTTTTTTAATTTCAAAGTTCTGGATCATACACACTACGCTCAGAGACAAATTCAGAACTTCGTTTACCAAAATATAAAACAAATTTATCCAAAATTTTTTTACAATATTCAGGGATTATTATCTGGAATGAGTTGCCTATTAGTATTAGGAATTCCCAATCCCTTGCAATATTTAAAAGTAGTGTTGAAAATTTTTTACTTATGAAACGTACTGGTTCTACATGAAATTTATGTTTTCCTTTCTTTTCAATGAAATGCAAATATTTAATTTATTCTGTCGTAACAAAGTGTTTATATTTTATTGTTTCATGTTTGTAATTATTGTCTTTAATGTATAAAGCATTGTATATATGTTATAAAGAAGGCCCTGAGGAAGACTAGTGCTTGCACTAATCGGGTTACCTTCTATAAATCAAGTATTATATATATATATATATATATATATATATATATATATATATATATATATATATATATATATACATGTACCCCCGAACAATCGACTACCGGCGCATAAAAAATGCTCCTTCTGAGGCGAAATCTGGGAACTGTCTCTGATGTACTTCAAGTGTAAAGTTATTAAACTCTCCCATACATTTCATGTTAACATATATTTAATGACATATCTACTACACTGTATTTTTCATACTAAATGAAGTATCCAATTATTTATACACTGAATTGACAACGTGTCTTTCCATTATTTCCCTATCATTATAAATAGCATACTTTTGGTGTTACCGGTCGGTAAAGGGATGCTTACTCCTCCGTGGCACCTGATCCTACATTTTGTATTGTTTTATGGACTTATGATTTTGTTTGTTATCTAAGTTTATTTCAGTTACGGAGTAAATTCACATTCAATGATTTTTGCACCAGAAACATCAAGATTTAAAAAAAACCCAACAAAATCATGAATTTATTTTAAATAAAAAATACTTTTATGAAAAAAAGTTGAACGTTGAACAACCTAATTGATGTATGATTTCTACTATATACATGTACACTGCTTTTTGAGCAATAGTTTGTATAACACTTAAGTTACATTCTGTTACGGCATCACTTGATGCTTTAATGTTTATATTAACATATAATCATATAGCTATTTCAAGTTTTTACAAAGATTTTACAAGTTATAATCTGTAGATGGAAGATAACACAGCATTTAAATCAATGGGTAATTTCCCTGAAATGTATAAAACATAATGTTAAAAAGTGGAAAATCAATAGCTCTGCAATACCGTGTAGAAACGTTTACATTTAAGTATCACTTTCTTTTCTTGGCATTTCCATTTTGAACCTAATAAACAGTCTTAATATATGTTCAATCATTTTTTCACTCTTCTTTTTATTTATTGAATAGAAGTATTCCTTTTTCTGGTCTTTCGTTGTTTTCTTTTAAACAGTTAATATTTCCATCGTGACTTTACTTGGAATTAACTATGCAAAATGTTTTCATTGTCCCTATACCTGTTGTGTTACCCTGATCTTCTTTTTTGAAAAAGGAACATGACGACAAAGCCCACCAACACACCGACTGTTAAACCTGAGAAACTACACCCGACTGTAGCGAAAAGTACCATTTTGTCTTAAAAAAAATAAAGTTATATATTATAATTAATAAACGACTATAACTAAATACATCACTTAACTGTATATGTACGTTAACTGCAAAAATGTCTACAGGAAATTGTCTCAAAATTATTATCATTCCTTTACTGCACGTTTTTATAACAAATAGACTAATAGTTAATTAAGATCCAAATGTATATATTTGGATGTGATGATATTTATAGTGAAGCATATGGTATCATTTTGATTTAGACGTATCAGCTCTTTATCATGATCATGAATAGCGTTGGTTTCATTTAATGTCCTTAGATCTAGAAATAGGTTTAAGGAATTAATATATTTTATATCTAAATTCATTTGGAAATATAAAAATGTAAAATACATACATGTACCATGAAAAATATAACTTTGAATTACCTTTATAATTCTGTTTGTCTTGTTCAATTTGCTTTTGAATTCCTTTAAAAGAAAGACAATTTCAGTTTAAATACACGTATATTTACTATAATTTCATACCAGATCTCCCTATAGTTGCGCCCATCCCTTTTTAAACTACTCTACCCCAAAATCGTCCTCACCTCTAGATCCTCTCATGCTTTTCTTTTTTCAATAAGCCGTGGACACAGATTCTCTAAATAAGCTCGTTAATCATAAATTCAAAATTTATCAAATCAAAAGTCTAGAACCTTAAACCGTTTTCGTTATTTGATATTTGAATATTTGAATCAAAATTCTATAATTCCAAAAAAGAAGAGCTTAAACGTTTTTAAAGTTGAATTTAGATATTTGAAGTTAATTTTAAATAGGAAAAGAATTGAAATTAAACTGAACTGTAGATTCTTAAACGTTCACTTTCTGAACAGAAGATGGATTAGAAAATCCAACCTTTTAAACATCAACATTTTTGGGAAATTTAATTTTCTTAATATTATTTTTGTAAATAAAATCTTAAAATTTTACATTTCAAAAATTTGAAAAATTGAAGTTGTGTTTTTAAACTTGAATTTATGCAAAAGCCATTAAATTTTAGTATGCAAATCTAAATTTCAGTACATGTATAAGAAATACGGTTGATTTTTGATAATTAGAAATTTGATATTGTGTAGTAAAAAACTTTAAATCATGTTAAACATGTCTTCTATTTAACTTACCTCTATAGCATATTTTTTCCTTGATGTCATAAAGGTGACCCGATTTACAGGAGCATGTCTGGTTTAATGAACAAACTCCTCCATAAAAAGCACACTGTTCGTTAGATCTACATTGCTCACCATATTTATGACCTTTTAAAAAATAAGGGTATTGTTAACACTTTTTTTTCTGATTTCCATATTTATACTGACACGCAAAAGTAACGCAAGTAAAAAATTTTGTTACTTAAAATTATGAATATCTTCAATTTCGTAAACATCGGTAATCTAACGGTTGAACGATTTTCATACCATAACCGGAAGTCAAGTTTGAGTCTGCTTAACAGAAATAAAAAAAAATTGCATTCTTAACAAAACATTTGGCAATATTATGGAGTTTTAAGGGTTTTAACCCTTAATCATAAGTAATACAGCAATATTTCAAAAAATACACTCTTCTTTCGCTTCCCGTAACGATGCTAAGGCTTCTTGAAAATGGCTTTAAATGGCATTTCCATTGCTCTAGCTGAAAATTTTCAACGTAAAGGTGATGGAGAGCTGCTGGTGCAAATATTCACAACATTACGCCACAACAGGGTCTTGTGCATCATATTCATTAAGGACAGTCCTTGTACCGGAAGTCCAAGGGTGGCTACACTGCTCTAAGTTAGAGAAAATTCGACCTACTCATCTGAAAAACGGGCATTTAAAAATGGCAAAGAATAATTCCTTCGCTCAGATCTCGATATTGATGAACATACATATATTGTATCGTAGAAACTAAGCGGCAATTGTTGTTTAGGGCACTTGAACGTTTCACTTGAATGGCTGTGAGGGGGTGTTTTAACAGTCATATTTCACTTAGTGAAGTATCAGATAAACATTTAACATTTTTATCGAATCTCCGATGTTCTGAAAAGTTATATTAGCCTTACTGTATTCATTTTTGAAAATCATAAGATAAAAAAAATCAAACATTTGTAGATTATTGCTGCTGGTTGCGTTTCTTTTGCGAGTCAGTATAAAAAAAAACATTAAAATACCAGGTAGCTAATTGGCCTAATCACTCAACCGAGCACCAAGTACTGTGGCAATCAGAGATTGTGGTCAGCTCAATATTGAAACGTTTAAAATACAAAAATGATCGGGATCTACCCATAAAGGGAGAATGCTTAGAAAAAATCTCATTCTACATTTTTTAAATAAGTTGCATCTTTATGTGGCGGTTCACCCATAATTAAGAAAGAACTAAGATTATGACACAATGTTACCCCCCCCCCCCCTTCGGAGTGCTGATTTGAGCAAACTTGAATTTACACTACCAGAGGATGATTCCATATATAATTATCACCAATAATGGATCGCTGTTCTTGAGAAAATTTAAAAGATTTTTTTCTAAAAATTACTATGTAACACTTTTATACCCAATGTTAGCCCAATCTAATTCAGTTTTTTTTATGATTTTAACAAACTAGAAATACACTAGCAGAGAATGCTTCAATATAAATACCAATGAATCATGACTTTACAGTTCTCAAGAGGATGAATCTCAAAGATTTGTCTATATATCTCTAGGTAAAACTTTGATCATTCATTGTGACGCCCTTTCTTAGGGTGTCTTGATATGAACAAACATAAATCTACATAACTTAGAAAATTGTCTATATGCATGTAAATATAACCTATAATGGATTTGCTGTTCTTGAGGAAATAAGTTTTCAAAGATATTTATATACGTTCCGAAGTAAACGGATATCTTGGTCCTTCCTTTGAACAGAATTGAACCCTATTAAATACCCCCAAAAAATTCTTTTTTGAAACCGTAAATTAAATGGATTTTAGAAGAAGACAAATATATATATATATATATATATATATATATATATATATATATATATATATATATATATATATATATATATATATATATATATATATATAATGAAAAGCAAACCGGCAGACATGATGTAATCAGAAAAAAGCTCGCGTGAGCTAAAGAGGACAAAACAGTCAAATGAAAAGTAGGAATATTAAAAATGAGGTACTCTTACACAAATACAAGTGGGCTATCGTGTGCTATTATTAAATTTTTTACACTGTAGTACCAAAGTATTTTCCAAAAGGTTTATAATCAGTGAATTTCATCTTTCATTGTAAATTAGAGAAGAAAAGTACATGTATTTACTATTTTTTCGTAAATTGTACTTGACTATCGACTATTTCGGTTGTGATATATGAAAAAAATGTCCACATACCAGGAATGCAATCAGATAAATAGTTTATATATCCATCTGCACATCTGCAGCGATTGTTTGAGCATTTAAGACGATTTGGAAAGCATTGCTCGTCATAAATGCATATTTCTCCAAGTCTTGATTGTGTCTTCTCTACAAAATAATTTAAGGTATTAAGTAAAGACATTTCTGCAATATTGATCAATTTTTTCTTCTTGAAGGTTTATTAAATTAAAGAAATAGCAAAAACTGAAACAAAGTTTCTGACTATTTTACTGGAATTTTCAGGCTTTTATAAACGTACGGTATACTCTGAAATCACAGTCTCCGTCAATATCGAATCTCCCCGAGTGGTACATGTAGGGGTAGAAATATCCAGAACTTCCAGAACAACAATAATGAATCAAGAAAGAATGAAACCCTGGTTTTTGCTCTTTACGAGGTCTATATGCTGCGTGAGTATGCATTCTATGGCCACAATTCCCTCGGTGAATAGCAGCAATTGTACAAGGAATCGTGCAAGTTCTTTCATCTGCAAAAGTAAACCATCATAAAAAATATTAATTAAGTGCTTTTATCTTACAAAAACATTAAGGAACAAAAAAGGAAACAATAAATACCATATATAACAGTCCTTAGTTAGTAAGAATCAAGTACGACAATAAGATAAATCATAATAAAGTACAGTACAAACAGTAATTGTAAAGTTTAAACGATACATGGACGACTATTATTCTAATATCCAAAATAAACCGATAAATGCTAGTAAATTCGCAATGTCCCAAAACAGTAGAAACAGGAAACCCTTGGATAAAAAACCTATAGTTCTAGTTTACCATAACATCTCATCAAAATTTATTTGTTTACTCTGTAACTTATATTGTAAATTGATCTGCCATCACTGTTACTTAATGCAAATAAATGACATTTAAACGTGTGTATTTTTAACGACTTGCGTTCATTTCTTATTTTTGATTTAAAATGTTTGTATTGTTTGATTAAAACACCGATTAAATCTTAAGTTGCAGGTTTGAATCCCACTGTGGGACGTAGAGATCGGTACTTCGGATGAGATCGTATATATATGCCAAGGTCTCGTTTGTCAGTAAGGGCTAGTTCAAAAATAGGTACCTCACTGCTTTATAGCCCTCAGTTCCGATTATGGGTTAAAAATATACAACCTTCCGCAGGTGTAAAGACGAATAATGACCCCAATAGAATAATGTCCGGGGGTCATTTTTCAACGGTGAAAAATGACTCCAGGTCATTCAAAAAAGACCCATTTGCGCGTAGAAATAGTGTCATTACCCTAAGAATTTGCAAATTCCACGTGAGGAAAATGACCTCCGTAGAATAATGTCCCCCTTGTTGGTTAAAGTTAAAATTCTTAGGGGGCAAAAAGGGACCTACTGGCCAAAATGCTCACCAGAGCTAAATTGAGAATTAATTGATACGTTGATCTTATTACATTACACAATAATTGTCAATGTGATGATTCAGGAGGTAAAAATAGGGATAAATAGTTTTAATCCACGATCTTAACATGGTCCTCGTCCTTTTTTGTCAGCAATCAGACATTCTAAATTATTTAATTCAATAATTCTAGGATGACACTACCCTATTTTCATCCAAGCAAGTCTGGGGTCAAGGGTCAACACTTTGCCGTTGCACAATAGCAACGTCTTGATTCAGGACCTATGGCTTACGAGGATGCCCTTTCTTATATACATCGTTTGATCACTATGGAAAATATATACAGATATGTACCCTCAATAGAACATGCATTCTATTTTATTTTTTCCTAAAGATTCGTTATGAATTTTTTTTAAATGCAAAAATGAAATATATTTGGTGATTTGATTCTTTGCATCAATTAAAACTTAAAAATCATATTTTTTTATATATGACTAACATATGAAATAATGACCCCAGGGGCTATTTTCTAGAAAATGATTTTTTTTTTTCACGAATGGAGCTCATTTTCTGTCGTTGAAAAATGAAACCCGGTCATTATTTAATGGGGGTCATTATTCGTCTTTGGACGCGGTGACGTCAAAATATGATCATTTGTGGGAGACTTTATTAATATTTGAACAAGAATGTTCAAACAAACAACAAACATCGACAAATTATTTTTTTTATATTACATTGGTCAAACTATATATGCATTTAATTTGAAATGCCGCGATATAGTTTCTTTAGGGTTATAGAGTAATTTTGTAAATGTCTTAATTTTGTATATTTCTATCCAGAAATATTAGAGAGATATATTAAATCACTTCACACAAACAACTAGTCAATTTAAGTTGAACTTCATACAGAATTATTCGTTTCCGTTTATTTCATTTTGTTTGTTTTTTTCTTAAGTTTATTGTGTTCATTGCGTTTAATGAAGATTAAACATGAATGTATTTTAAACAATGTGTACTTCCAAATCAAAGTATATGTGATAGAGAATTTGATATTTATCATACAATCTCTCTGGATCATTTATATGTATTTGCTGTCCTTTTTTTCCTAGATAAAGTGATTGAGGAATTCCAATAACAATGTACCTTCTTCTTTAAAATAGAATTAAAATTTTCCTTAGATAGTTGAATCGGAGAACATCCAATTGCATTTTCTTCCAGAATAAACAAATAAATATATTTTTACTCAATAATGTACAATGTATGAAGTTTCACTCAGTGTTTCACCTTTCAGAGAAAAATGCACTATGTTGAATGAAATATCAGAATTGATTCGCTTTCATATATCATTGTATGAATTATAACAACTTTTTATATTGATAGAGCAATGCAGAAGGCAGAAAAAAGGACGTAGTCAGTAGAGTTATATAAACATGTTAATCTTCCCTCCCAGAAGCCTTTGCTTGACTGAAACACAATCCTACAAAAGGCATATTTTTATAATA